CGTACTAAAGTAAAACATAACCCGCTGGTGCTGAAACAGAGCCTCTCATTCTGCATTAACCCCTCAGTCCTCCGACTATCTGGGCCGTGCGTACGCTACTTTTTGCTGTGGAGAAATTTGACTTTCCATAAACATATTTAGCTCTAATTTAGGAAAATCTGTGCTGCTGTAAGCACAAGATCAGCTGAAATAATGAAGTTCTGGAGCCGAGATTTTGATCCAGACGAGGCCTAAAGGTCGGGTGATAAAGTATGACCCATTGAATCTTATCAGCTGATCATTTGATTTGGTAATGCACACATTATGCACGTTACCCGAAAAAAGTGACAGTTAATAAAATGACCTGGAGATCCACTGATAAGTAAAAAGTTTGTTGCAGTTTGAAGTTCTTAGTTTTACTTTGAAATAATCACCAGGAGCTGGTAATGAACAGCAGGTGTGTCAGTTCGGCTGATGATGTCACAGGCCTAAACTTCAAGTAGTTTTTGGGAGTAACTCTACTCTAATGAAATAACCAAAAACATGTCCACCTAGGGGCCCCTCCTATAATCCAGCCTTCAGTACAACTAATCGTTCGAAGTAGTTAAGCAGTAAATTTACTGAGTTACTTTCCATCAGTGATGATGATGAGTATTATCATTATTATCATTATCATGAGTAGTAATAGTGTAAGAAGTACTCAGATCGTTGCTGAGGTACAAGTAGTCATTTAAAACTACTCTGTTAAGAGAAAATGTCCTTCAGCAGCAAATGAAAGGTTTAATAAGCTCTCAGCTATGAACAAATATGTTTTGATGTAAACATATGTTTTCTAAAAAAATGTGGTGATTTGTGATTAAAGTCATGTTGTGAATTAAATGTTAAAATGCTACAGTTGCAAAAAACGAGGCAAATAATAGAAACAATTTGAACATTTGATTCAAACAATAACCCAGAACGCATGAACGTGAATATCTGAGCATTTATAAAACAAAACATGGTTTAAGCAGTTTATAAGAAGAGTCTTACTTTTGCCACTGACTATTCAAATTAATATTAATTAATTAACTAACAATATGAAAATTGTTTTTATTCTCTCAAAATACCCCAAAATGTACAGTAACAGTTAAATTAATGGACAAATGTGCCGACCAACCCCGCTCACATTTGACCCAGCTTTTAGATGAAATGATCCGGCAGCATCACTCATCACACTTTCACACATGATATCAAAATGTAGCTGATTCTCATGTCTATTAAGAAGATTTCTAGTACTTCTACCCAGCACAGTTCTATGATAGATTTAGTTTGCAGACCTCTTGCTCATGTTAGCACCGTTAGCTACGAGCCTCGGTTGCCATGTTGAGAGCCTTTGAGAGGCAATCGAAATGCTCCCTTTTGGATGTTGCACTCTTAAATACATAGTAGAGTAAAACGCAGTAGCAGAAAATTGGAATAAGTTAAGTTCAAAGGTGTTAAGAAGTTACTTTCTGATGATTATTGTAAAACATATAATTATTTTACAAAAGCCACTGTAAAATAAATCTACCCTCGTGCACACGTGACTTGGAGGTGTGACTCACTCCTTCGCCCTCTGGCCCGACAGCTCTGCTGTTTTCAAGCCTCCGCTTCCAAGAGCTGCATGCTGTGGCCAGTCGACAACAAAGCACGCGCTTCTCGGGGGCGCCTCGGCACGAGGAACGAGTTAATTAATATTGGCTCTTGTTTGGTCTAGTTAATGAACGAGTGAATTATGCACCTCTGGGACACACCGCCTCCCCAATCGGTTTAAATTATCCCCCGCGCCCCCTCTCCCGACATTGTCCTCCAATTTCCCCACTCTGATCCTGCACTGATGGGGTCCCTGTCACCGACCAGACCACGACACACACACACACACACACACACACACACACGGAGACCGAGGCTACCCCTGCCGTCTCCATCTGTCTGTCTTTGTCCTGCTCGGGTGTATTTTACTTCTTTGTCTCCAGCACATTTATTGACGCCTTTTTTCAACGCTTCTGTTCGACCTCGCATCGTCAGCTCAGGGTGGCAAATAACTTCCATCCCATTAACTCGTTAGAGAGGGGAGGCTAGTCAAACAAAGCTTGTCCGCAATCTGATCCTGATCCAAACATATACACACACTCACACGCACGCACGCGCGCGCGCGCACACACACACACACACACACAGTCGTGTGGGTCAGAGAGGGGGAAAGAAAAAAAGATCCATATTATTTGCATTAAAAGCCTCGCACCGTGAAATTCATTTATAATTACAAAGCGGGGTGTAGTGTGTGTTATGCAGATCAGGGACACGTGAGGGTGTGTGTGGAGTGATTGGCTCGGATTGGTTATTTTGTGATATGCTAACACGGAATGTATGGTGACAGATTGCAATTATCCCGTTATTGTAATTGTCAAAGTCAATTCACTGCAGGCTGCATGACACAAAACAAAAACCGACTTGGGATTCACACACGATTTAGATTTGGTTTGTTTGACCCTTTTATTTTCAATCTTAAAACAGTCTCTGCTGTAACAAACTGCTGTCTGGCCTTCACCCCGGGCTACACGGGGGTTGTTTATGTATTATTTTTGTGCAAAGTGTGGATTTTATCTGTTGTAACGTAAACGTTGTTTAAAGGATCTGGTGAAAGTGTATTTTTTAGATTCTGCAAAACAGTTCTAAAAGGGGCCAACTAGTGATTTCATTCACTGCTGACTGAGTTTAAGTGTTATCCTTATTTGAACACGTAAGCTACAGTTTCCTGCAAATAATATCTCTGTTTCATTGTCAGACGACACGTGGGGCTCCACCGAGTGTCCTGCGTGTGATGATCCCCTGAAGTATCTCAGCGGTCTCACACACACTGGTTCCTCAGCTGTTCCTCGTGGATCTCCAGCGCCCCCGTGTGGTGAAGAAGGCGCAGAGCAGCTAATATGCCTGTCTGCACCTCCCTGTGAACAACAACAATAACACAATACAATAACAATAATGATAATAAAAACATCACTAATAACAATAATTCTAAGAAGAAGAAGAATATTAATAACAATAATGAAAAAAAGAACAATAATAACTTCATATAGCTTCTTTTAAAACAAACTTACAAAGCGCTTTACAGGAAAAACAAATAACAAAAGTACTTCCCATACACAGATATCCAGAGACTAATTCCAGAACACTACTCTGAGGTTTGTCTTTGTGTTAGTTAGTTTAACATGAAAATGCACCATGTGAGCACAATATTAAAGAAGAAATGAAGGTGTTAGGCCGCTCCACACCTCTACAGACTGAATGATTTAGGGCCAAAATACATCTCTGATCTGCTGCTACCTTATGAACCATCCCCGACCCCTTAGGTCATCTGGGACCGGTCTACTTTCTGTTCCCAGAGTCAGAACTAAACATGGAGAGGCAGCATTCAGTTTTTCTGCTCCACATATCTGGAACAAAGTCCCAGAAAGCTGCAGGTCTGCTGAGACCCTCGGCTCCTTTAAATCAAGATTGAAGACTTTTCTGTTTGCTGCTGCCTTTAATGGAACCAGATTCAAGGATATTAATCAATTTCCTGCATTTCTGCATTTTACTACTGTACTTTATTTCTTACACTGCTTTTTAGTGTTTTAATGACTGTTTTTAATGCTTCAATGAATGTTCTTAATTGTTTTTAAATATCCTTTTCTTTTGCCTTATATTTTGATGCTTTTAATGGTTTTATGTGAATTGCCTTGTTGTTGAAATGTGCTATACAAATAAACTTGCCTTGCCTTACGGGACATCGTCCACTATTATTTGCAAGCTAAGTAATCAAACTACCCTAAAGGAACTGACATAAAGTAACCCTTCGTGGCTTTTGTGGACCCTGAGGGTTTGCACATGGTAACATTCAAAGCTCTGAAACCCTTCAAAATAAAAGTGTGTTTCTGACGTGTCCAGGTGGATGGAGGATGATTTCCATCTCCTCAGCATGATATGCTGACAGGTGGCAGCAGCAGAAATCCACTGCAGCTGTATCTTTGTGCTGATGTTGAACATCTGCAATGCATACATCATCAATACCCTGATGGCTTAACAGTTGTAAGATGTAAAATAAATAAGGGAGTGCTTTAAAGTTCTGGACTAAGAGGAGTGTAGCCTAAAGAAAACATATCAAATGTTTCTTTTTCATATCTGCACTTTGTATTAGAATGACGCTGCACAGACTGTTCATAGAAATATGTTTCAACATTTTTTTGGGGAAAGGGGTTTATTTGCTCATCTTTGTAGCAACATATTATGAACTGCCGGTTAGCTTAGCTTTGCTAAAGGACTGGAAACAAAGGGAATGTAATTATTGGCTCTGTTCAAATGTAAAAAAAACAAAAAACAAAAAACCTGCCGGCACATATAGCTCATGTTATATCTAGTTTGTTTAATTGAAACGCAAATCGAAGTGTAAAGAAACGACATTTCGCGATTTTTAGTGGGTTATTTATGTGACAGAGTATTCTCAGCTCTACGCGGTTGCCGGAAGCGAAGACTTTAGGAAGCTAAGGCCAAGAGAAAGTCTGCCTCATAACAATGTGTTGTTGGGTTCTTTTCTCTCTCTTCGGTTTTTGTTTAAACAAAACGAGATTCAAATTATTTGTGAGTGTTAGAGGTTCAGGTAGGTGGATTTTGGTTAAGGGTCACATGCTAGCTGTTTCACATTTCCTGTGTTTAAGTGCTAAAATAAGCTAAATCAAACTGGAAGGATGAAGGAAAGTAACCAAAACAATTAAATGTGTTTTATTAATGTAAATAACAACCTTACAACTTATTAAAGATAAGAATAAACTACTATCCTTTGGCGATATTTAACATATATCAGAGCTAAGCCTGTATAACTGACATATCAAGTTTTCAACGGTGTCCAGAGTAGGTGTGACGCAGCTGAGCACGTGCGTGCTCAACGACGTGACTCGAGCACACCTGCATCTATTTCTACTTAATTTGGCCCTTGAAGCGTCGTTCAAACACACACCGGGGAGCCTGCGGTCAGCTGTGATGGCTGAGTCTCGGAGGGTTCAGTTGACTACGTTGTCCTGTGATTATGGACCTTCGTCCTCTGGCGGACCGGCCTCGGACCAGAAGCCTCCGTCAGGTGACCTGCAGGAGGAGAAAGACGGCGGTTCAGGTGGAGCCGCCGACACCGGCACAGTCCGGCTGGAGGTCGCGTTATTTGAGGCCGATGAGAGGAGCTTTCCGGAGTTCAGCTACAGTCAGCTCGTTGACAACAAGGTGGGATTTTTATCCGAATTTTAAAAAGTTAATTGATGGTTTTAACGGCCTGGGCTGCAATTCAATAATCTGGCTTCAACAAAAAATAACTAAATCAATCCACAGGTCAATCTCACATCTTGAATTAACAAAATAAAATACAATGAAGGGGTCATGACTGGACTTGTATTAATAAAGGTTTTCAATAATTTACAAACAATTGTGGGTTACAGCTGTAAAAGACCCCTTGCTGTTTTATATTTAAATTTTTGTTTATGTCAGATCAATATCATGATTGATAATAATGCAAATACCTTCTGATAGGACATTTTAAGACTCTTATGATTGGTGTTTGACTATTTACTGAGTGATTCTCACTTACTTAAAATGCCATATGCTGTTTTAGTCCTTTAAAAAAAAAAAAAAAAAAAAAATCCTTTTGCAATACTTACTGTATTAGAAAATGCAATATTACTTTTATTATTTTGCCTTTTCTGTTGAGTTGTTTTGCACCAGCTGCCTTTTCCTCTAAAAACCTTCTAATCAGAATGATTGGAGACTCTGCACCAATGAGTGTGTACACGGTCACCTTTGTTCTTGTGACTCTCTGACAATCTGTCCGAGATTATATGCTAAGCTAAATGTGCGACATTATGACACAGAACTGTTTTTTATTATTGTTTTAATGGTTTTTAGATGAGCAGATTTAAAGAGGAAGAAAAGAGGGACAACGATGAGGTTGCTACTATTTCAAAGAAGTTGGAAAAGAAATATGTGAGTACTTTATTTATTTTTGCAAACCTGCATTATTGGTAAATATAATGAAGACTGGGGTCCTGTTTTGAAACTGTTGCGTTAGTTTGAAGTGGACTACCGACTATCTGTCTGAGTAAACTCAAACTGAACTCAAATCAGAATGATGTAATTTACAAACAGCACAACAGTATTTTGCATCCTCTCTTTGCAGGGTGGTAAACCTAAGGAGGACCGCATTCAGGACTTGATTGATATCGGATTCGGTTATGATGAAGAGGATTCTTTCATTGACAACTCTGAGGCTGTGAGTCACACATTTGAAACCTCCATAGTGTATTTTCTATATCTGCATCTTTGAAGACAGTTTTGATATATCTAGGCCTTTTGTTTTTACTATAATTAGGATTTCTGGCTCATAAATGTGTTGGCTCTGTTCATATTTGTTCCCAATTTGGACGTTTAGAGGTCCGTCAATCTGTCTCGACCTCTTCTGTGCCGTATTCATTTTAATCCTTCTAATTGACTAAATCTATTTGAATGAAATTATAACATTATTTCTGGCTGGTCTCTGTAGTACGACGAATTTGTGCCGGCTTCCATCACAACCAAATTAGGTGGATTCTATGTAAATATGGGCATGCTGCACTTCCGCCCGGCTTCTGAGACTGAGGACCTCGCAACCGAAGAGGAAACACTCGAGCCCTCAGAAGTAAGAAGTGCATCTCGGAATAAAACAAAAACATGGAAAAGCATTGAAATGGATGTTTTGTTGTTCTCTGGGAACAGATTTCAGTTTAAGAAGACATTTTTAAATGCTGTTTCATAAGTGACTGTTTTGCCAAAACTGTTCTTTGTACTAAAGTTTCCAACACATTCAAATTTTTAGAAAAGTAGCGTCAATGGAGGACGGGGTAAGCCGAAGAGGAAGAAGAAGAAGCGGTGCAGAGAAGGTGGAGCGATCATAACAAATGTGGATCCCAACTCAAGGTGAGGCTGACCACAGGTGTTTCCACTCTTCTATAGAGCCAGTTAGACTTTTGATCCTCGAACATTTCAATTTGATCAGATTCTCTCATAGGCGTAACGTGTTTTATCTTGCAGCATGTTGTCTGAAATCGGACCGGACGACGAGATGAGGAAGAAAAAGAAGAGACAGGCTGCCGGCACATTGAGCGTCACCAGCATGTTGAAGAAGTTTCAAAGGGAGAAGGAGAAGGAGCGTCAGAAGAAGGAGAAAGCAAATCAGAAGAGTGCTGCCATCATGGCCGCCATCACCATCCCTCTGTGTCCGGCAGACGCCGGCGGGGGCGGAGGGTCGGGGTTGACTGACCCGCTCCTCAGTTTAATCGGCTCAACCAATGACCACGCCCTTATCCAAGCGGCCAACGCGGTGGATTTCGATATCGATTTAGACTCTTTGTTAGACGTCACCGAACAGACTTCGTCACCTAATATGGCGCCACAACCTGCGACTGAGACGCAGCTGTTCAGGTCCAAAGCGGACGATCCGACCCGGCCTGATGCCGCCCCTCAAGTCCAACCTCCAAACCCGGAGACCAACTTGCAGCTCAAGCCTCAATCGGAGCAAATCCAGCCCTCGTCACAAAGCAGCTCTACCTCAACTCATCAGTGCGTCCCGCTGCCAGAGGGACTTCCCCCACGACTGGAAGACAGCGTACGAAGACTCATGGCGGTAAGAGATGCGTTTTGTTACTTGTGTATGCTGAAGCCAAGACGCCTCTGTGTGCTTGTGTTTGACAGATCAGTTGTAGTTGGACAAGTGCACGGATGGATGGATGGATGCACGCATGACGTACACTCATTTTTCAGGTTGCCAAGACGTCTGAGGGAGAGTCGAAGCTCAAGTTCTTCACTCCGGAAATCAACTCGGTCCTGCTAGAGTGAGTTATGGAACAACACAGATGAAGCAAATACTCAGAATCCAGTTGTGAATGTCAAAACATTGCTGCTGTTCAGACTGATCTAAGGTTCAGAGGTCAAGATTTCTGCTAATTGTGTGCGTCACCTACCGTTTTATATTTTTAGCCACGCTAGCAATGTGGCTGCTGTGAAGGCGATGTCCATCTGACAATATCTTAGCTACTGGATTGCCATGTGGTACAAACAGTCATGTCTCCCTGAGGATGAATTATGAATAATTTTAATGATTGCTTAACCTTTTGATTTAATGCCCTCCATCAGGTCAGAATTCCAACGTGTCCAATACTGTGGTTTGTGAACACGTACCTGCAAAACTAATAACATTCCTATCAGTCGTTTGCACTTTGTGTTTTGTGTGATAATCCACAGACCTTGATGTGAGCAGTTTATTTTCTGTCTACCGAACTACACCCGCCCAGTGTATCGCCACGCAGAAGGAAGCGTACATCTCGTGGACGAGAGGCCCGTGTGCTCACAAATCAGACCATCTCTAGCTTATAACCATGCTGTGACTCGTGTATATTCTTTGCTTTCGCTGTCCATTGTAATATCAAACACGGTTTCAGCTCTCTCCCCGTTTCTTGATCCAGTATCGAGGTGCAGTGTCGGGAGCAGGGCGTCCAGCTGCGCTCCAAGGTGTACACGCACCTGTCGTCATTCCTGCCCTGCAGCAGAGACACGCTCCTCAAACGCGTAAAGAAACTGTTTCTCGCGCACACGGTGAGCTTGTTGAATGTTTGTCACGGGTCGTACGGGTTGTTCAAGGTTTCTGTCTGCGTGTGACTCGCTTCTTGAATATTGACGCTGACAAGGAGGAGCCCCCAGATGTGGACGATCCCATGCAGAAACTGAAGGAGGCCATCGGCAGAGCTATGCCCCAGCAGATGGCGTGTTTCAACCAAAACTGCCAAGTGTATGAGCAGGTCAAGGCTTTAAAGTGAGTTCATCTTGTGTAATAGGTATGGAAACATATCATAAATAATGAATACAATAAATGTAGGGAGTTCTTTTCCAGAAGTCTATTCTTTCATACTGATTGACGTGACGTTAAAGGTGTAGAGATGCTGACTTGAAATGGCCAAAAACAAGTGATGGAATACCTGCTATAAATCTATACATAACCGACCAACAGACGATCCACATAAGGTGGCTGTAAATGCATTCAGTTCAGATCTTTTACTAGCTATATGTAACATCTACTGATCTTGCTTCAATCAAAGCTGTTACACCCTCTCAAGGCGTTTATTTTATAGATCTTATTAGAATCATCGGTGACGTTTGAAATGTCAAAGCCTATTTGTTTCCCTATAAACATTTCTGTGCAGCTAATAGCCAAGAATTGCTGTATCCATAATTTGCATATCTGTCTCTCTTCAAATAGGGTTTGTGCTCATTGGAGATGTATATATCTTTTATTTTTCTATCATCTTGGATTCTCCTTATGTCCATGTCAGGGCCACAGAGGAGGAGAAAGAAGGGAAGGTGAATGTTGGCCCAGAGGACAATGTGGAGGAGAAAGGTGGGAGAAGAGGAGGCGGTCCTAAGAAGTCGTTCAAATGGAACGAAGAGATCAGGTCAGATATGATAAAGATCCTTTGAAATGTTGGTTAAAGGAATACTTCACCCACAAAACGACCGTTTGTATATCAATTACTCGTCGCATGTTACCTGGAATTCATGAAGAAATAGTTCCTCTTGCATGCTTCCACGGTGAACGGACTAAATCCTTATTGAATTGAAGTAAATGGAAGCCGCATTAACAGCAAAAGTATTCCAAGACATCGGCTCACAAACTCACAACTTGTGCAGTAAAACTCATATCATTTAAATCACTGCACGAGTTGAGTTTGTAAATGGATGTTTTGATATAATTTTGCTGTTGAAGGCAATTGACCTCAATCCAAGACTGTTTTTTTTTTTTTTTTTTTTTTGTTTTTAAGTAACATGCTTAAGTGCACATTATGCCGTGTTTACTTTCTGCCTATTTGATCACATTTTCTCTCCTACAGGGGGAGCTTGTGTGAGGTGTTAAAGGTGAGAATGGAGAGGTATAAGAAGGAAGGGACAGGGAGTCAGGAGACTGAGCACCACCTGAAGACCATGTTGGACAATGAGGTCCAACCGCTCTGGCCAAAGGGGTGGATGCAATCCCGGTATGTGACACTGGTGCAACTTCACACCGTCGGTTGTAAAACCCAGATTTTTCTGGGTTTTAAAAAAGGTACCCCTGTACTGATTGTACATGCAGACACGTCCTTACTCAACATTTGTTTCTTCAGGGTGCTGATCAGGGAGAGCAGGAAAATGTTGAGCCTCTTTACATCATTACCGTGAGTACAATGAGGAGTTAAGCTCCACCTACAATTTTATTTTTTTATTTTTTTTGTGTGTGAATTCCTAGAACAACGTATCCTTAAACCACGGTTTGTATGAAATCTTACGAAAAGTTAATCATTTCCGTACGTTTTCCTGCGAAAGCCAGCAACACGTGAATTTCTGTCTTCACAGGAAACTACTCAGTTGGCTTTAGGCCACATAACTACTTAGTTAGATTTAGGAAAAGATGGTTGTTTGGGTTCAAATAACTACGGCAGTGCCGCGAAAACATCGACTTCTCTTTTAACACAGAGAATAAAAGATCACTGGTAGTTGTGTATACTTCCTCATTTGTTAATTTTCTTTTTTTCAAAGGATGTCCAAAAACAAATCTCCTTGATGTCTCACTTGTGTTTTTAGAGTAAAGAGGGCTCGGCCTGAGAAGAAGCAGCCGTCTGTCGGTGGCCCCCGCGCTACGTCGGACGGCTGCAGCGTTCTCCAGGGGCCTCCGCCACTGAGAGGACTCGCCCAAGAGGCAGCCGACGTCATTATCGTGAGCTCAAATAGCAGCAACTCTACGTCGCTCGGCACTGAGAAGAAGGAAGCCGCTGACTTGAAAAGGGTTGAGAGTGCAACGGGCGAGGTGGCAGTGGATGCTGGTTCCTCTACACTCGCGAAGGCGGACAAACCTCCGGTCGACATCACATCTGCTCCAAATCGGTCACTTCTGGATCTCCTCGCCGATCAAGCGCTGGCTCGGGAGCAACCTTTCTCCGTTTCCCAGGAGCTCATAGCAGCAGCTGTTGCGAAATACAAACGTTCAGTTCAGCACTGGAGCTTTGGGGTGGACACCAAAAGTCCTCCTTTTCTTTCTCCTCCTCCTCCTCCTCCTCCTCAGTCCAGCCCAGTCGGCTTCCCAATGAGTGGGGTGTGTCATGTTGTTTTGCCCAATTTGCTGCAGGTTGCCAGGCACATGGATGCCAGCCATGTGCAGATCATCTCTGATGACGAGGACATTACTACCCAATGACGGTGCAGATTTACACACGGTACGTTTTATTCATTTATATTTTGTAGTTGAAACTTGGGTGATCTTACAGTTATTCACTTCGTTGGTTTAGTGTTGCACCTCCATAAAGATGTTCAAATGAATCGATTCCAAGCGAAGCGGCAGATGTCCTGACTTTACGTCCATGCAGATCTAACAAAAACCCATTTACCTGCTTACATTAGATTTGGTTGAAAGCTCATGAAAAAGCCAGTCAGTAAATCCTGATTTTTCTACATTTCTATTGTACAATTTTGTAATAAAAGCATGAATCTGACTTGCAGCTGAATTACCATCAATGGTATTTTTCTTTTTTAAGATGATGCAACGCAACAATCAAAGCAGCTGAAGGATGCATCTTTTTACTTTGGTGCCAAAGTGCAACCCAAAGATTTAGTTTTGTGCTTTTGAACATAGATAATAAGTCTTGTATGTATTGTTGTTTTGTTTCTGGCAGCAGTTTCCTTGGCGTTGGACTGGACACAGGAGTTACGATACCAGAATCGGCTGTGGAAATGAGCTAATGAGCTAATATTAATTTGTCAAGTTGTGGTTCTCTGCCAAAGATGTGATGTCATGTCCTCTCTGTTTGGATGAGTGTGTCATCTGAGAGAAAAGAGTTAATTCTTGTGGTTTTGACCCATGAAGGGAGAAGTGGTACGTATACCAATGAACTGAGGACTCACTCATTATGTTTCTCATCAAACAGTGAGAAACATCGGAAGAGTCACCTGTGATAACGAGCCTTTTGCTGACTTGTATTTGTGAATGATTTACTTTAAATAAATATTAAAAGCTTACATGTTGTGTAGCCATGTTTTTTTTTTTTTTATTTCTTTACGAGACGGCGCAACTGAGCCATCCTGATCTTTAAGTTTAAGTGTGAACCATTCTTTGAACAATGTGTGATTGGTTGATAAAAATGAATTCAAAGTAATAATGGGCTTAGAGTGGTAGAAATCCACAAGCCTGATCATAGAATAAGTCTGTCAGACATGGTGTAATTATAAACACTACTTTATGCATCAACACCTCTGTTGAATAAATTGTAAGCATAACTTTAAAAGTCTACAAAAAAAACCACACCTACTTATGCAGCACTATTCACGCGCTGATATATTTATGCTTGTTTATTTACTTTGCTGGTTATTTTATTTTTTACTTCATTTGCAATATCAATATTCTATGTGCAATAACGTGACTCCAACCAGTCCGTTTACTATTTAGTTTTTTCACCGTTTTATTTATTATATCTTGTTTGTTTACTGATGTCTCTTGTTGTACGGCCTCCTTCACTGCAGATGTCCCCGCTGTGGGAGTAAAGGAGCATCTTATCTCAAAAGATCTTATTAACTCCGTCATTCAGCGTTTGGAGAATGTTTCTCCTTTTTGTCTTTCCACCATTTTCTCCTCTGCTTTAGAAACTCTTCAGTCCTCCTCCCTTCACCTGAAGAGTTCTCTGAAGGGATAATATGCTTTCTGAATAACCTCTATTTACCAGGATCTTGTCTCAACTGTAATAATTATCTAATATTTTGTCGGGAGCAACTCTTTGTTTTAGTAAGCTCCATGAATGCGGCCCCAGGTGCTTTGCAATGTTTAAAAAAAAAATTGTAGACGCCTTACTTTGGTGTTTCTTTATACTACAGAAAATTGAACATATGTACACAGGATGGAGACTGAAACATGGTTTGGCAAAGGATGCAAACAGTCCATAAACATCCTCTGGCAAGGGAGGCGGACCGATAACAGCATGGTCGTTGATCATTACATTGTACGTGACTGTTGATTTCTTTCTAGAGCAGCTTTCAGTCTGGAAGATATGAAAGTGAAGTTTTGTGCAGATTACAGAGAGGCCAGTTTATTAACCTACTGTAAGAACATGTACCTGGGCAGAAGCTCCCAAAAAGAGAACTTCATCTGCTTCTAATGGGACCTGAGATGTTGAAAATGAAGTTGCAAAATAAGACGCTAATATGAAACGGAGCCATTTGTACAAATGAAGAGGGACACAAAACGACGAGTCGTCCCTGACGGACGTTTCTCACAGCGGGAGCCGCTCATCCAGAAAGCGTGGAAAGAAGAATCTCAGGTCACGTTGACTTGTTTTGAGGCTTTACAACCAGTTAATCATCTGAATCAGCAAGACGGCCAACAGGAAATGTTCATTACAGCTGTTTGTAGTTCCTGGAGAGAGGAAGAGACAAATTAATTCAACCAATACAGGAATTCTTACTTATTTATACTCAAATCCTCTTTTGATCATGCAAGATAACGGCGCAAAGCAACATTTCTCAGAAATTCAGGAAGGAAGACAAGTTTAAACATTCGTTATTAGAACTGCTATAAAGAACAATGGGACTGATGACATATAGACGTACCACTGCCAGGAAGGACCTCCACCTCCACTGTGAAGTTTTTCTGTCCGAGACGTCCTTCTGCAGAGGCTGTGTATCTCCCAGCATCCTTTCTGCTTGAGTGAGTGGGCAGGACAACCGCCTGTCCATCTCTGAACCATGTGACTAACGGCTGAGGGTTTCCTCTCACCTCGCAGCTGAGACTCTCTCCCTCTCTCACCTGCAGCTTTGTAGGACACACCAGCTGTGGCCCAACTGAGAGAAAAGACAAGTCAGAACGAGGGAGGGAAAGACGGTTGATCGAAAAGCAAGATGGATGTATGTTTCACAGAAGAAATTAGGTGAGAGGACGTGGGATATTAAAAAGATGAAAAGACTTCTTAAAGATGTAAAGAGAAACCGGAGTTGATGTAGTTTTTCCAACTGTTTTTTGTCATGAGGTTTTGCACCGCGAAAAAACATCAACCAATCACATTGTGTGGAACGGAAATATTAAAAGTGTACACTATAGTGTATAACAACACAGAGGCTCTGCAATCCGAACGTAGATGGCAAATTACTCCTTTCAACCTTGACAAAGGCAGTGCATACCAGATCCACTTTCTTCCGTTACCTTTCACAATAAAAGCCCTAGGTATACACATGTGTAACTATTTACAAGCAAAACGTGAAGTCACTAGGAGCGTTTTTGCAAAATGTAAACTCAATAAACTAGCTCACAGTAGCTGAAACTAAACAATGTACCTCATACTCTGCCAGACGCTGCTCTGGGTCAATAGGATCTCGGTAATTGGTCATTTGGCTACACAAATCTATTCAAACATTTTAATAAATAAGTGTTGCAACTGTCGCAGATTTGCATTGCTGCCGGTGTGAATAGTTTTGATGCAAAGTATTTTGCGTTTTTGTGTCCTTTATTCGTCACACCCCGCGGTGTGTAAAAGCCTTTAGAGGTAAAAAAAAAAAATGATACAAACTCACAGTACACAGTGGTGGTGATGTTTCGTGACGTCACCACTGGAGGGCGCTGTGGTCCATCAGGTCCCAGTTCTAGCTTTGCTTCACACCAGTACTGGACTCCATCGTCCTCTTTACTGAGGGTGATGTTTAAAGAGAAGATGTCAGTCAATGGTTTCTTCTCTGTGTCGTTGATGTTGGACTGTTGTTGACTCAGTACTGTCCGTCCTCTGTAGAAGGTCACAGTGAGGTTTTCAACAGGAGCCACGTCCTCTACTGTACACTGCAGAGTGTACTGCTGACCCTCAAACATCGGCCCAGTGGGGTCAACAAAGCTGATGGACACATTACGTGGAGGCTCTGTGGAGACAAATCAACATATAAAACCAAAGGAGGAAAAGGGATTATTTTTCTAACACGTCAGAAAGAGAAATGTCCTCACTCACTGTAGACTGTTAGAGGGAGATGAATGTCGCACTGCCCCCCCTGTTCAGATAGTGCGTAGCACGCAGGCCTGATGCTCCAGGCAGTCATCCTGTCAACACGCCAGACCAGAAACCGATCCATCGTGGGTTCAGGAGCTGCCTAGAGTTGCAGAAGATCACAAATCACAAAGCTATTAGGATTCTGTTCCAATGGTGGCTTCGATATAACGTTATGTGGGTCGGCCAGCTGGTCTCCTCCAGCATTCATAGCTACGAACAATAATGGCGCTCTTTTGTTGGACTTCTGTTCTAGTCATTAATTGTCAATAACACAAGAACAAAGTCAAAGACAAAGACAAAATTAACTAACTTTCCTTTAATAATCAGGTTTTTTATTCAGACGACATTAATTACAAAACTAAGAATGTTTTGAGAAGAAATAAGTTAACATTTTGCAATAACTGCTGTTTCTTACAGTAGTTTATTCTTGGGGACCCCAGTCTGTAGTCCTTGAATGTTAAACATGTCGGTAGGCTGAGGGTTAAGCTAACAGGGTTTTCAAGTCATATATTAGAGCATTAATTACCAGTGAGACTACCCAACCAAGAGGAGAGAAGCCAATCCTTGATACAGAGCAGTTCGCTGTGACTGGATCTCCGAACCTGTGACAGGAGAGTTGACAGTTGACATAAATTTACACAGCAACAGGGTAAGAGTACGCTTCTCAGTGAGGTCAGTGGTAACACAAATAAAAAATGAGTGCACGCTATCAAAGTATAGGAGCAAGCGTTTTTTAAGTTTGCTTGACTTTTAGTGTCGGCATTTGTGCACAATTGGGCAAAAGTCAAATTATTTCCATGTGTCTGCGTTGCTTGGCTTTTCTCCGTTTTCTTTAACACTTGTTTAAATGTGCATCGGCTTCCAAACAAGCGCAGATAAATGGCAGAGTTTTATAATGTGTCTCATTACTTTGGCGCAAACGTGTAAATCTCCTCCACCCCTGAGACTCCTTTGAAATGGAGGAAAGAAAGACACAGAACCCTTTTAACTTCTGAGCCACCGTACCTCACTGAAATAATCACCATGCTGTTCCCATGTACATACCTGACCACCAGGGTGGAGGGAGACAGCGTCAGAGGGCAGCCGACTTCTCCTGTTGTCTCTGAGTCACCGAGGGAAGGAGAGGGTGGAGATGGGGAGGTAACATGTGCCATGGAAGAGGTGGAGCAGGTGTGAAAATGGAAACAGGGGAGGTGAGGTCACGAGAGTGGTCAGGGAGAGGAAGAAAGACACAATAAGTCACTTTATGAATAAATATAGCTGTGGAGTGGAGGAGTTTCACTACAGACATGTTTAGAATAGACACTGCAGGAAAAGGTTATTTCTCTCAAAGAATACACATTTCATAATCTTTAATCATCTAAACTAAGTAGATATAAAATACATTGGAGCTGATCTGACTCTAAAAGGTATACAGTGTGTATATATATTTAAGTATCTGTCACGTTCATCACAGATAAGAATCTCTGCTTCTGTTCATGTTGTCTGTATGAACTCATTTCCCCCGTCTTTACACAATACAGGCAAGGGTCAATTGAATTTTGCCATCTCGTGAAATAATACTCCTATTTAGCAGATCTATTGTGAACCATTGTTTCGTGGCGCGCTGAATACACCCAGTGTGTTCCTCTGAGGAAGGAAGGACACCCTGCCCAAGTCAAAGAACTCGCTCCTCTTTTCTATGACCATTGTTCCACTGCACCCCGAGGTTGTTCTGCTGCCTATCAGATGACCTCACTCGCAGAAGCTCTCTGGAGTGGGCGTCGGCATATACCGGCCGTCAGAAATGTATTAGTCATGTTTCCCACATGCCAGTCTGCAAAATGAGTGGCACAAGGCAACTGCCAGGTTGCGTCTCTATCGACGGTCTCGTCTTCAGAGCCGATATAAAAGTCAAAAATCAAAGTGGAACTATTTTTCCAGCTCATATTTCAGTGATGGAAGAAGCACCGGGATCCATCACTGAGGTATCAGTAACAACATTACATCTGCATTCAAAATGTTCAAGTAAAAGCATTGGTAGCAAAAATATATTTTGAGTATTAAAAAAAGAAAGAACAGATGCTTTCAGAGGGTTATTAAAATGTTGGATTGTTATCATTGATGCATTAACATTTAACCAGCATTTAAATACTCTACTAATCTTTGAATCTACTTTATGAGGTCATCTGTTAATCATTTCATCATTCAATTAATTTTTGTGAAGATGCAAATACATCAAAATAAGTATATCACTTAGCGCCATATTGACATATACTGTACACGTACTACAGATTAAACGGTGATCCTCTCTACCTGGGGTTCCCAAACTCAACTACAGTGTTCCTACAAAGAATCTGAGCGACCACGAGTTAAGAGAGTGAAACAGAAGACCTCTTTAGTCCTCTGTAAATGTTTAAAAACGCCACAATCTGAGACGTAAAAATCACTGTTTGGTTGACCTGCTTGCACTTCAGTGATATTCACAACCTGTTGCAAGTGCATCGCTCACAGCAGAATTTACTGTGATGGATCACAAGCCCAAAAAAACATTAGTGTTTCAAAACTACCAGTCGGTATCATGCTCTCTGCGCTGACTGTTTCCACATTGAGCGTTTCGTCTCATTGAACCATCGAGCTGTCATTTCACTCACCTGAGCTGATCAGGCAACACAGCAGAAGCGCGATTGGCCGTCCAGATGCACACATCATTCAAATATATATCTCTCTCTCTATATATATATATGTATATATAATATATATAAATATAGTCACTGTCTGTGTGATGCTGGCAGTAACAGCCTGAGTCTTCTGAGAAAACATGGGGAACTTCAGGTTTTTATGTGAGCGTGGGTGTGTGTGCATGTGCTTTTTTTTTTCTTTTTTCTTTTGCTTGAGTGTGTCTGAAGCTGATGATCAGGCGATAGTTTTGCTTTGGCCTCTGAAACCCACCATGGGCGTTCTCTGTTAGCAAATCAAGAGAGGAAGGAAGGGAGGGTCAAGAATAATGCGGTGTATAGCGCTGCAGCACAGAGGGTACCAATGAGTGTGTGTGTGTGTGTGTGTGTGTGTGTGTGTGTGTGTGTGTGTGTGTGTGGTTACACACAGATGGGCTGCTGTAGGGGATTTTTAAAAAGCAAAACAGATGATTTCTCACTTCTAACATATTGCTAAAAATGACTCCAGTTTAAACCTTGTATCTATATTTTTCCATTTCGTATATCTCCTTAGAGCTGCTATGATCACTATTTTTATATTAGCAGTGGATAAGACGATTGTGTTTATGTGAAGGACGACTCAGATCCTTTACTTAAAGGGGTACTTTGGCGCCATCTAGCGGTGTGGTTGCAGATGGCAACCAGCTGAATAACCCTCCGCTGACTCCTCTCTTTCTGAGATTGCGGTAACTTGAGCCGCCGAGTGTAAAGCTGTGGTAGCGCCGTTGACCTCGTTCACAAGCCGTGTTTTTAAGTAAAAAGTAACGTCGTAGTGGAGAAAAAAAAGTATTTAAAGTAAGTCTGTCAAGATTGTACCTATAAGTACAGTATGTACTCACATCATCTTCGAGTTCATTGTTTGGTTTGTCTGGCCTGCAACTTTCCTGTTCTCCTCGTTCATATTGGCATTATAAAAACTCTGATAAACAGTACGCTACCTGCCCAGCAACAACCAGCAGACAGAGTATGATAATGTAGTTTATTTAAATGTCACTTATCAAAACGAGCAGACGTAAAAAAAAAACTAAGAACAGAATACGAGCTACTCACATATTTACAAATATAAATATATAGTATATATGTATATAATATATACATATATATTTATATTAATATATTTAAAAACAAATATAAATTTATCCTAACGTGGTCTAAAAACTACAAGTAGCCTACAGTTTGGATGTAACAGGATGTAACTGTTTCTGTGACTTCCTGTTTGTTCTTTGAAGACAGCTGGAAACTGTTGGACTCGTCATCGACCTCCTGCTGCTGCCGCCTGATCTCATCTCAAACCAGCCTGTTTGCTCAAAGTACTACACTGAAGTAGAGTTTTATGGTACTTGTACTAAACTTGTCATTTTCTTCTTCACTACTCTAAAGCCAACGTTGTACTTTGTATTCCACTGTAGTTACTTTTGAGATCAAGATTTTACACAACAAATACAAACACACTGCTGAGGATTGACGCGCTGGTTTCAAACCTTAAAAGAAATCAGCCGGGGCTCGTTATCATGTTTCAGATGTCCATGAGTTGTTAGCAGCTCCATCAATGAGACATTAACCCTCTAAACGTCTCGGACGGCCTCATTCTAATAACTGATTGAGGCTAAAACGATCCAATGTTTCATTAAAAACAGCAAAGATTATGTAACAATGTGAAGCAGAACTTTTCTCTCATCATATCATGGAACACTCAGATTTATCTTGTGAGGACAAAAAATATGTTTTCACGAAAACTGTAGACAAAGTGAGTTTGAACCTCCACTACATCCCTGGTTATCAGCATGAAGGCGCCCTCTTGTGTTGAGCTTCAGTTTTCACATTTCCCCTGTTAACCTGCTGTGATGTTCACTGCAGGAAGACGTGTAACAACTTCACTGAGTCTTTTGCAGCTTCAAACAACATCAGTAAAGAGACATTTACTGAGAACAAAATATCTTGGATGAATGAAGGTCTGGTGTTTTCTCTCTTAAGATTCATGCAGTGGAAGAGAAACAACAAAATAAAAGCATCAATACAAATATTCATCAAACATTTAGAGCTCAGAGAAGTTTAAATGTTCATGCAGAGAAATGTCAGTTCAGGTAAACAAACATCATCATGAGCAGTGATAGCCTCCATGGCTAAACAGACACAGGAAGGAGCTCCACCTAAAGACACTTCATCATAAAGATGAAGTCCAGCATAGAGAGGCTGAGTGAATGTGGTCTGGACTCTGTGGAGGAGAGTCATGGTTTCAGAGACGCTGTAGAAGGACAGAATACCTGCTCTGTGATCCAGGTACACTCCTACTCTGGAGAACTGAGGACTTGAGACGCGAGATCGGTCCATGTTGTACACAAATGCACATCCGTTATTGCCACAATGGAACACCCGAGATTTGTCATTCCATCCAAACATACATTCACCAACGTCCCCTTTTCTGCTGATATTCTTGTATGAGACTGCTACAAATACTCCTCTTCCTCCTCTCCACTCCACCTCCCAGTAACAACGTCCAGTCAGACTCTCTCTACTCATGACCTGATGACATCCAGTGAATCTGTCTGGGTGACGAGAATAAGACTGTTGTTGACTCATAGCTGTTGCTTTCTTGTTTCCATCAGATAATAACAGCAGTGTGTGTGTGCTGTGTTTGGATCCAGAGTGATTTCACCTGAATAGTTTAAGAACTCAGCTCTGGTCTTGGGCTCTGGTTGTTGCAGTGAAACATTCCCATTAGTCACCGTCAGTAAGATGTTTGTCCATTTGTCTCTCAGAACATCCTGTAGTTTATCTCTGACTTCTGACACAGCCTCTGTCAAGTCCTCAAGGTAGCTCAGAGGACTGATCTTGATGCTGGATGAGTCTGTAGACTCACTGAGTGGTGACAGTGAGGGGTAGTTGTGTAGGAACTGCTTGTGATCCTCTGTGTGTGAGAGCTTCTTCAGCTCAGTGTCGTTCCTCTTCAGCTCAGAGATCTCCTGCTCCAGCTTCTCCCGAAGCTCTTTGACTCGACTCACTTCAGTTCTCTGCTGGGATCTGACCTGCTGCTTCACATCGGAGCTTCTTTCCTCCATGAGACGGATCAGCGCAGTGAAGGTTTTCCTATTGTCCCCCACTGCTTTATCAACAGAGAGATTCATTTTCTCCTCCTCCTGTTGAAGCAGCTTCACATCTTTCTCTCTGTCCTGGATTCTCTGCTGGATGTTTAGTCGACTCACCTCCAGCTCTCTCTGCCTCTCAGTGCTTTCTGCTGCAGCTGAGACTGTGTCGTGGCCTTTGTGTTCACCCATTAAGCAGAGGTAACAGATACACTGCTCATCAGTACGACAGCACATCTTCATCACCTCATCGTGATGAGAGCAGATGTTCTCCTGGAGATTGTTGGAGGGGTCCACCAGCTTGTGTTTCCTTAATTGAGCTACATCGTAATGAGGCTGAAGGTGTTTCTCACAGTAAGAGACCAGACCAACCAGACAGGACTTGAAGGCTTTCAGTTTCCTCCCAGTGCAGACATCACAGGCCACATCTTCAGGTCCAGCATAGCAGTGATCAGCAGCAGCAGCTTGGAGTCCAGTCTTCTTCAGTTCCTCCACTAAATCTGCTAACATGGTGTTTTTCACCAGGACAGGCCTCGGTGTGAAGGTCTGCCTACACTGAGGGCAGCTGTGGAGTTTCTTCTTATCCCAGTGGGTTTTAATACAGTTCATGCAGTAGCTGTGTCCACAGGGAATAGTCACCGGATCCTTCAGTAGATCCAGACAGATGCAACAGGAGAAAGTCTCCAAGTCCAGATGAACTCCATTCATTTTCTTCTCCTCGTGTGAGTTTCACTCAACAGAAACAGAAGTCTGTGATTCGAACAAAAGTCAAACTGTTCTTTTTGTCCCGTTTGAGCTGCTGCTCCTTCACCTGCTCCTTTATACTGATCTCCCAAACTTGCATGTTGGTGAAAAGGAGGAGGAGTGAAGCACGACGTTACACCATTGGTCGGTCGAGTTGGAGCTCCCCCTCTCCTCATTGGCTGTTGCTGTTTCAAAACGTATAGGCCGCGTGCAAGGAAGAGATGTTTTGAAATGTTTGCTGTCTTCATAACAGTGCATGAAATGTGCTAAAGATGATTGTTATTAGGATATAGAATTAAACTATGAAACTATGAACGATACATACTGAGTCCAGAGGATACACTTTTTAAAGTAGCGAGTTGTGGAGTTCAGAGAAGAAGTAAACTGTGAAGTTGTCTATAATGTAGGTTTCTCTTTGTCCTATAAGCCTCTTCATAACTTTCTATCCACTGAAGGGCATCCTAGATGGCACTTCATCATCTTTAATTTACAGTAGAGTCCAGCTAGAGTTTTGCAGCATCGTCTAATATTGATCTACTTGTTTGGTGTGGCATTTTTTCTATCTCAAACCCCATAATGGATAAATATTTGTTTTTAAATACACAAATATTCAAATACAAACCTTGGCTCACACAGCTGAGGTTGAACACAGAAGAACGATTCAGGAGGACAAGTACAGGTTTAGCGAGACGGTGAGAGAAACCAAACGACTGTACTCTGAGCAACTCCAACACCAGTTCTCAGTGAACGACTCTGCTTCTGTCTGAAAAGGTCTCAGATTGATCACCAGCTGCAAACCTAAAGCTCCTCACTCCACTAACGACTTGCACATGTCCAATGACCTGATTGAATCCTACTGTGTTTGTGAAAGACAAAGGGACAGTCCTCACAACAACGAGGACTCTCTCCATCCTGGAGAGGGACGTTGACAAGCTGTTCAAGAGAAGCCACTGTAGACTACCTGCTCAGCAGCAAACAGATGCTAATGCAGAAGGACAAGAATGAACCAGATCAGCTGATTCTGCAGTTTGTTGTTGATTGATATAAAGTGATGAATCTCTAGTGTTGATATACTTTACTTTTTTCTTTTTTCTCATACTTTCAGCTACAGACACCCGCATATAGAGACATGATTACCGCACTAGTTGCAGCTCTGACACTTGCTTTCCCGCCAAAAATCAACATGTCAAAAATAACATCATGCAAGCAAAAGCCTGGTAAAACTGTAGCAGACTATTACGCCAGACTCCATGTTATTTTCAACGAGCACAGCGGTCTTCAGGAGCCTGCAGCCAGAGGAGATGCAGCGGGCAACTGGGAGTGCCACCTCAAACAGTGCTTCCTGGATGGACTGTTGCCACCCATCTCTGCAGCAGTGAAATTAACTTGTGTTGGTTATGAAGAAGCCCGCCTTACTGAACTTGTCAGACATGCTAATCATGCAGAAAAACAAGCAGCTGATGACAAACAGAAGAAAACTGAGGCCAAAGAAAAGCAGATGCACTTGGCTCAACTGACCATGGTCCAGGCGGTCCAGAGCATGGTCATGGGCCAACCACAACAACAACAGAACCAAGGGGGTTCAGGTTTCTACAGAAGAGGCAGAGGACAAGGAGGAAGAGGTCGTGGTTTCCAATCGCAGGGGGAAGACGAGTGCTACATCTGCCAATAAAAAGGACATTGGGCAATTGACTGTCCACAAAATGATGACAGTAGTCACCAGTACACCTGCTTGCGACACCAGAGAGGGGGGTGAGAAACACACACACACACACACACACACACACTCATGGCATTATTTCTCTTTCCCACAGCATGTGTAAAAGTTGTAATCCTTTAGAGGAACAGCTGGTTCCTTAGTCAATGAAAAGTTAGAGACAAATACAGAGAGAATACGCTGAATTGATTTTGCTGAAAAAATGCGGACCATGAATACTATCAAAAATGTGTATTGATATAATAAATACCGTCAACATTAAGACTGAAGCGGTAGCCAGTATTCTCTATGTCCCAACACATTTTAAAGTGTTGATCCTGAGATTTAAGTACAGCTCCATCACGTCTGCAGGTGCTTGTCATCTCCACCTGGTGTCAGCAGGTGGAGCCACATTGATGTGACAACAGGTTTGTGTGCTTCTGCATCTGTGGTGCAAACCTGCAGGAAGATGAGGACAGAAAGAGCCTCAACAAGTGTGACAACATATCTATCATATATTCATTTTTTTGATTTTTTTAGTGGAACTTATGTGAAACATCTTCTGGATGATGTGATTGATCAAATAAATCCAGTTGAATATCTGGAAAGGAGTGATGTGAAACTGAATTTGTGACATTTCCTTCTTTATGATGTAATTACAGTGTGACTGTCTAACTTTTACACAGATGTTCCTGATGAAATAGTTTCAGATGATTATCAATTATTGCAACCTGCTACATCTGACATGTTCTCTCTACGCTTTAGTGCAGCCATTGTTATGTAATCAGATTGCTGTTATACTAACCCAGACGGACTCTTGTTATCTTGGAGTTATTAGTTTGTTTCTTTGCTTACTTATTTATTTATTGCAAGACAAAAGACAAAACATGAACAGAACGAAATGAGGAAGACTTAAACAGTGAATACAGAGCAGTTATCACATTTTATTAGGGAAAGAGAAAAGAAGATGTTCATTCTATATCAATAAAAATAAAGTTGCAAACCAAAAGAACCAACAGGAAAGAGTCAAACACAAACTGCTGACTTAAGGATGGAAGATCTCTAAAATATTCCTGTGTGCTGTAATAAGATTTCCCTTTATTGCAGCCTCACATTCTTTAGAAACCGAAACTAAAGTTATATCCGTCATTCTGTGTGTTTTCTGTCGCTTGGTGTACTGCGGGTTGTCGGAGCCGCGGTGAGTCCTTTCCTATTAAAATGTTCATTCAATGATACTTTTGGTTCCGGCGCTGCTTCGCTGTTTGAGCACTTTGTAAAAATCAAACAGTTAAAGTTTCAGCAGAAGTTTGTAAAACCTGCCGGAACCAGTTTGTCGACACAATGTTGTAGCACGGACGGTGGTCGTCTGTTTTGGGTGTGTCGTTCTTTCTCAGGGGATGTCTAACGGTGTTTGTTTCATATTTATTAATGTAAATCCTTTATCATACTCATGTCTTCATTGTGGGAGTGTTGTTTTTAGGCCCGTTTGTTCCTTTTTTTCTGTTCAACAACGAGGTAAAGACCATAAACCCAAATCTCAGATCCTCGTGAGAATCCAATAATGTGAAGGATTTCCGGAAATGACTTTATACTAAAGCAGCCGTCATGAACGGTTTATGAGTCGGAACTCTTTCTTCAGCATGTAGCTCTATAAAGTGGCACTCTGCTGTTTTTACACGACCATCAGTGGACTCACCACCACATACTGTATATGAGAACAGTTATAACCCCGATGGATCAGGTGATTGCTAGATTAACGATGTGAACAGCTTGCATTGTGGGAAATGTAGGCTCCAGTGGTTTTGGAGCTCGAGGGACTGAAAGTCAGGGTATCTCGGCCCCAGTTAGGCCCCAAGTGATTTTCTAACATTTGCTGGTTTCCTGTTATAACAGCAGACAAGGACGCGCACAGACGTTTTGACGGGCTGTTGCTCTAACCTGAAAAAAAAGCTGTAAATAAAATATGTTTTCGTCATTGTTTGAATTATTAAGATCCATAAAAGTGTAAAATATATATGTACATTTAATAGATTTCAGTATATTTCAGAGCTTAGCTTGGACCTCTTTTGGATAATTTCCAGATGAATTATGAATTGTGATGTTAAAAATATAAGTAGTTGTTAATAAATAGTATTAGGTATAATTATTAGTTATCAAATATATTTATCTTAACAATGGTGGAATGTAACTATTTACTGACTTCAGCAATTATGTGCTAATCATATTTAAAATACGGTATAAAAGTTTTAGCCCGGCCTTGAACACATCCTGGACTCCAGACATATTAATGGAGATAAACTCGTGACCCTTTGTGAAAGGTTAACTCATGACTTCATTGTGTCCCTTTTCCAGCAGGTGTAAGTAGGCCAATAGTCCATTGGAGTGCTACCTGGTGAATTAAAGAGATCACTAAATACACTTCCCACATCCTGCCGATCAAAGGTTCTTGTTATTAATGTGTAAACCTGATCTGTATCAACATCATTAAATGATTTGTGTAATACGCTGCAGCCCTAGTCAAGAATATAATCTCCTTTAAACTAGGACAGATATGAGAGTATTATTAATCTTCTCATCTAACTTTTGGCAACAAAGCAAATAAGAGTATTATCAAATTATTCCTATTAACATTGAATGCTAATCTGGAAACGTATTTACCCTCTTCTACCTGCACAGTGAGCAGACATGTCGGTTCCACAAGTGCTACTTGAGACTGTGGACAATTT